CACATGATGAATTAAGACCAAGAGAATTTTTCAAGTCAAGAAGCATAACTGAAGGAAGGCGGAAAAGGGATATAGAGAGCCAGGAAGAGAAGTAAAATGTAGTAACATATTCCTGGTGCAATTCCTGACCAACAAGGGAGACAGACTTACAGATATAGGATAGGTAAGAAAGTGGAGTTAAGGATACAATCAGATCAGTCACAATCTTATTAAATGACTTGAGGAGCGAAATGACCTACTCCTGCTCCTAAATCATATGTTCATCTAAGATGAGTGAGGTAAGGAACAAAAGAAATTGGAAAGCAGGGAGGAAAGGAGGAAAGCAAGAAAAGGACAGCACAAGAGACAGGGGAAGTAAAAGATAGAGAGGCTAAGTATGAGGAATGAAAAGGAGGGGTTACATTGGAAAAATAAATAAACGAGAAGACAAAGCATGCATGGAGACAGAAAGGGATGGAAATGGAGAAGGAGAAGTTGAAAGCATAACTAGGAAAAGAGGGTTTATAGATATAGAGAAAGAAATAGGATTAAGGAAAGAATAAGGGGAGGAGGAGACAGTTAGGGGAGGCAATGGCCTAGCGGTATTATCACTAGACTGTTAATCCAGAGACCCACATAATGTTCTGGGGACCTGGGTTTGAATCTTGCTGAGTTTAATGATGAACATGAATCCATTGTCACTTGTCAGGAAAAAAAACCCATCTGATTCACTAATGTCCTTTAGGGAAGGAAACTGTCATCCTTACACTGGTCTGGCCTACATGTGACTCCAGACCCAAAGCAATGTGGTTGACTCTCAACTGCCTTCTCGGCCATTAGGGATGGGTACTAAATGCTGGCCTGGACAGCAATGACTTCATCCCATGAATGAATTAAAAAAAGGAAGATATTGGGGAAGGCAGGTAGCCAGAAGGGAAGAGAAAGTGAGGAGAAAGAAGATGATGGAAAAGACAAGGTGGTTGGTGAGAAGACAATTGGAGAATGGAACACTGCAAATGGATCAGTGATAGGTGCAAGGAGAGAAGGACCGAGTAGGTTGCACTAATGATTCGTGCTAGGAATGGAAAAATAGAGTCAGAATCATACAGGACGGAAACAGACCCTTCAGTCCAACTTGTTCATAACCTGAACTCATCCCATTTGAGATAACAAGGTGTAGAGCTGGATGAACACAGCAGGCCAAGCAGCATCAGAGGAGCAGGAAAGCTGATGTTTCGGGTCAAGACCCTTCTTCAGAAAATGAAGAAGAAAATGATCTCAGATTCTCCAGCATCGGTAGTTCCTACTATCTCATCCCATTTGCCTGTATTTGGCCCATAGCCTCTAAACCTTTCCTATCCACGTGCCTATCCCAATGTCTTTAAATGCTGTAATTGTACTTGCCTCTACCACTTTCTCTAGAAGCTCATTCCATATAAGTCTACCTTCTTTGTGAAAGAGTTGCCCCTTAGGTCCCTTTTCAATCTTTCCCCTCTCACCTTGTCCTATGTCCTCCAGTTTTGGACTCCCCTTCCCTCTGGAAAAGATCTTAGCTATTCACATTATCTATGCCCCTCACGATTTTATAAACCTCTATGAGGTCACGCTTCAGCCTCCCACACTCCAGGAAAAAAAGTTCCAGCCTACACAAGATTGCCATGGCAACAATTTGATGCTTTATCACCATGATTTCATGATTCAATAGCTCAATATATTGCCTTAGCAGTTATGGTTACATGACGCAAGACTGAAAATCACAGTCACGATACCATAAATAAGTAAGTGATAGGCAGGTAAATGTTGACATTACATTTGCCCAATGGAGGCTGTATGACATTAAACAATCCACTTGAAAATAGATCCATTTCTTAATATAAGAATACAGAAGGAACAAAAAGACTAGATTCCAAACTTTATAAGTCCCAATTGAAAATAAAAGAATATTTCTTCACAGATCAAAATAGATTCCTACCCAAAAGCAATCAAATACTAAATTCTTCAATGAAGCATCCAGATGAAAATATGGTTGTTGACAGGGATGATCAAGTTCTCAGCTCCTATTACAGCCAAATAAAGGAATGGCTCTGAAATTCACAGGCCTTGATATAACAGTGAGGGCTGGATCCTTAAGATTTACTTAAGTGCTCAAGACCAGAGAGATTTCACTTAATTTTAATTATTTTTAAAATGCTGTCTTTTCCTCAGAGATAACTTTTGAATCTAGATCAGCATAAATAACTAAAGCCAGCTTTTCTCATGGGTTATGGAAAGCAGTCTTGTGAGAGTGCAAACTTTGTTAAAATCTTTATCTGATGGAAACAATATTAAGTAGTTTTATTATTTGGTAATAATGTAAATAGACTATACCCAAAGGAAGTAATTTGTACAGTTCACTGCAGTCATCATAGTCATTATTCAAATATCAAGACCTCGAATACAAGAAAACAAATAGTGCCAGAGATGAAAGAATGGAAACTCCTTAAAAATCTAAAAAAAAGTTAGATTAAAGCCAATAAATTGTGAATAGTGAATAAAGTATTGGCAGGGCCAATTAAACAAACAAAATAATCAAGCAGTTGATGCAATGAGACAAGAGTGTGTGCTCTCAGCACTTTCCAGCTAGTACTGACGGAATTCTGTTTATTACTTGTATTGATTTTAAGTGCAATATCTTTTACATTCCAAGTAGATGTGGTTACAATAATTGATGGAGAATGCATGTCAGCCAAACGTTGTGATTCATTTCTAGAAATTATGTATATGCTTTTCTGCATCAGAGATTGGACAAAAGGGGTGCGTGCATGTGTGGATAGGGGTGTGGAGGAGAGAGAACGTAGCTGCTGTTAAAAATGCAAATTTTTTTCCAGTACTTGAGCATCTAGGTTCACTACATTCCATGTATAGTGATCCATTATTAGTGTCCCATTCTTCACTACATCCCACAGATCTAGTTAGCCAGTGAAAAAGTGCCACATTCTCAAATCCAGGATTTTATCTGAATATAGTATGCCATTATTGTTGACCATCTGAATCTGTTTTTCCAACATTTTCTTTCTAAAACTTAAGCAGATTGGTTTCTTAATCTCCTTCTTGCATCCACTATCTTCTCAGAAGTGCCACACTATTCAAGCACAGTTCTGTGTTTAGCAATAAAGATAAAATTCTGATCTGTAGAATTATAACCTCTTGGTGTTATAAAGGATTTGTATACATGTTGGCATCTAAAGTTATTGTAGACACATTTCTACAAAATTCATGGATGCCGGCTGTCATAGGTAGGACATAATTTAAAAAATATAAACTGCAGATGCCAAAGCATTTAAGCCATCTGAGATGCAGTGACCATGAATAAATGGTGTCTGCGACATATTTCATTTCAAGTTAAACAGATTTTGCAACCGTTAGATCTTAAGAATAATGATCATAAGAATAATGTTGTTTCAGTTAATTATCCTATTCATACTTGTGATGAAATACGTTATCTTTTCTTACATCCCCTAAGCTAAGGCTAACTACCCAATAGTGCAATATTTTACTTGAATGGTTTCATCTTGCAGCAATAAACAATGAGTTCTGTTGGTGGGAACTGTAGAAATTGACAAAACCCCAGCCACACCCCCCCCCCACTGAATTCAAGGAGAAAAGGGAAATCTAACCCATATCAGTCTCTGCTGTAATGGCAAATGTGCCTATCTATACTAAAGACTGCTGCACTTCATTACAAATTGATAAAGGCAACAGTCTCACTTTGGTGAGCTGATCTCCATACAAATCCAAGGATCAACTAGCAGTCAATGTCTTCAACACTTTTTTCTCCCCCCCCATCAACTTTCAAATCATTACTGGCTTTTGAATTGAAAGCCATACTGATTTCAAGGAGATAGTTACAATTGGTCATACTTGTCCACCATGGCATATAAGACAACTGTATGATCTTGGTCCACATGTTCAAGTCAATTGTGCCACAATACCATTTTAATTCCAAAAGAAAAGACCTGAAGTGAGGTAACCATGCATGATGCAGAAAACTGATCCAGTAGTTCTGGCTGAAATCTAAAATTTTTATGGCAAAAGTTGCAACAGCAAATATAACTTTTAGAAAACAGACCTTTAATACACAGAATAATGGGGGCATTCTTTAAACCCAATGATTTTTAAAAAATATTTCCTTTCTTGATCTACACTGTGGAGAATGCTCAAAAACAATCTGCCACAGAGAGCCAACACATACTGCCAAAATACATAATGTCAGGTTTGCAGCCTTAATCTCTTATTATCCTGTTAGAACTTCTGAAGCTCTGGTCAGAGACTTCTTTGGATGCGTCCAAACTGACCAAAATTGTTTGAAGATCATTAGACAGTTGCCATTTTTGTCAGGTATTGGATCCCAGACAGATCCCAGACAGCGAAAATGATGATTATGAATCTATCCTAGCACAGACTGAAGTGTAGATTTAAGACAACAAAGTGTAGAGCTGGATGAACACAGCAGGCCAAGCAGCATCAGAGGAGCAGGAAAGCTGACGTTTCAGGCCTAGACCCTACTATCTCTGTGGATTTAAGGCAGACTTTCCTTAAATGTGTGAAATCTGGTCATCACTAATGCCAACTTGACTGAATTATGAAAACAATACTTGGTTTCAGCATAATGCTGACACGCGTGTACAATAAAAAGGGAATGCTGCATGTTGATCTGCTGTTCTTCATTGTGGTAGCTAATACTGAGGACCAAGATGTCTTTGAAAATGTTACAAGACTTTTTTTGTCCAACTCAACAAGCAGTGAAGTCACCTTATATCCTAATCAACTCCTAAATCAATAATTAAAACAAATTAACTGGGCATTTAGCTGGCTGCTGCTTGATCACTACATTTTGAAATAATTAATTCTGATGAGCTCTTGAGATGTTTGAAGGATTTGGTCATTTTCTTTCAGCAGGAACCTGAAACAAATGAAGAGGTTAGCATTTAATTAACCTGCAGGAAATCTAGTACAGATATAGGGCATAATGAGAAAAAGTCCATTTATTTTCAACATATACTTGCACAGTTCACGTTAACAAATGTTAAAAAAAAGTGCAATATGCATACAACTAACGTGCAGGGCTAACAGTAAAAAGTTACTTTTTTTTAAATCACAAAATCGGACCTCTCTTGAAAAGAAAACTATACAAAGTGAATATTCATGTACATGAATTTTGAACAGCTTGTTGGAGACATTATTCAATAACATTCCACATTTGTTTCTGGATACTGCATCTGTAAGATCATGCTCGCTCTCTCAATAACCATTGCACATACAGTATTCACAAAATGAAAGGCACTGAAGTACATCTTTACAAATGAAATAAAAATATTTTAAGCACTGTTTTCATTGAAAATAAATCACAGCATAGATTCTACTGAAGAATGCATCTTAAAACATTTCTCACAAAAACCTGCTCATAATAACTTAGTACATACATTAACTTATAATGAAACCCTCAAGTTTTGCAGGTGTAAGGTGATTAACTATTAAATGCGTGGACTAGAATGCCAATTTATGTAGTCACATGGCATTAAAAATTATGACTGAAAGTCAGAATCACATTTAAAGAGTTTCACATATTCTAAATGTCTCAATTTTAACCAGAAACTTGAATCAGTAGCACTTTCATCTTTTTACTTCCCCAAATTGTCTTCCTTGAATGGGAAAAGTTCTAGAAAGAAAGGAATTTAAAAAACAGCAATTCAAGTCACAGAAAAAATATGAACAGAACATGTACTTAAGTATATGAGGGCACTGGGTATTTCCACTGTTTTGGTTAGATTCATGGACAAATCACCTCTACAAAGGCAAAATTAAAACATTCCAAGGTTGAAAATATAAGATTTACAATGGAAGCTCTAATTGGAAATACCTAACAATTATATTTTTATTATCACTACTGAATTGATTAAAAAAGTGCTAACAGACCTCCTTTTAACAGAAAAGTAGCTTGAATGTTAAATTATCTAAAGTACTCGTCACAGATTCTGGTCTCAACATAAGAAAGAAAAAGCTCAAATGCCTCCTTCAGTTGAATAGCTTAGGGACTGGCTTGCAAACAGTAACAGTGTTAACAGCATGCCATTGCCCATACAAGAATCACAGGTAATCATAGGTACTGCTGTTGTACACTGACAGTTTAGATATATACCGGTCTGATTAGTGTAGCTTATTTTCTTGGATCAAGGTCAGTAAATGTTGACAGATCTGAAAAATAGATCTTCCTTAACTTTGTTTTTAATAAAAAAGCTCATCACAAACTGTCACAATTTGAAGTGTGTCTTTGAAAGCATACTGTCTACATTACTTCAGCTTAAGGCAAGTATGGAAGAAAATATTTACAGTAGGTCCAAAAAGGAAGCATATCTCAATTTGTCTTTGTTTAGACAGAAGGAATCATTGCCAAGCTTATAGCAGGAGTTCCATTTTGACCCCTAAATCAATGGAACTTGTAAGCAACATTCTCCCCCAAAGATAAAGGCTTTTATTAAAAAAAAAGGTGCAAATCATGCAAGATTGGAGACAAGTCACTGCAGCTATGAAGCTTCTTCTTAATCCATGTGATTTTCTGGTTCAGATTTCTGCTGGTTAGGAGAATGTAACAAATCATAGTTTTTCAGGGCCTAGGCTTCAAGTAACATTCAAATTTCATGGGCATATTTCCAAAATTCAATAGGGCTAACTGAATTTGTACTTTGAATTGGCCTCCTTTCTTAAAAAAAAACTTGGTATGTTTGAGGTTACAAAATGTGAAATTTTTCAAAAGTGAAAATGCAATTTCAGGAAATTCTAGATTCAGTCTAAAAAGAACTATTCAGCATAGAACCGTACTTTCCAAAATGGATGTTTTTGAATAATTTTCTGAGCTGTTAGGAGATCAGATAACAGAGGTTAGAATTTTTGGTTTAAAGTTCTTGTCTTTAAAAGGAAGATTGGAATGTATTCTTGTTGCCAAATAATCACATGGTGTTATAGAGTAAGTTGTTAGTTCTCTTTCTCTCACATGCCTTTCTGAGCTTCCACACAGGATGAATTCGTACATTCTGTTCCTTGGAAGCCAAAGGACAAAGTTCGTTAGCACTCTGAGTATGGAATTGGCTTAGTTCAAATGAAGGAACTGAAATAAAATCTTCAAATTGCTGTGTAATCTCTGGATCACTAACACTGTATTTGGTAGGAGAAAACATCCGGCAAGGGTGTTCAGCTTGACCAGTGCACTGAATATAAGGCAGAGTTTTATGTTCCGATATAGAACTGGAAGTCTCAATTGATTTCAGTGGCTCCATGATCGAAGTTGTTTCAGTTTGCATATCTATTTCCTCACAAAGACTGCTTTTCCACTTCATTTTTTCAATAACATTAGGCAACAATAAACTCTCAACCAATTTAATGTTACTTGAACCGATGGAAGTTTCGGCTTCTTTTTCCTTGGATGACAGATCCTCACTAGATATGTTCAGGCTTCCAAGTTTGGCTATGGAATGAGATCGCTTCATTTCTGAACAGATGGTCAGTCCTGCCTGACGCATCCTGGCTTCGATTTCCTGTCTCCGTAGTTCAACTAAACCAGGCTGTCCTTGAATACTGTGAAGGCTATCACTGCTGGAGCTACGAGTCAAGCTTGAAGTTAAAGGTGATGGTATCAGTGTTGCACAGATTTGCTGCAAGCAATCCTTACTGAGATATCCTGATCCACTCCTATTACTTACATAAGGTGTGGATGTTTTCTGGCATAAACCGTCCATAAAATAAAACTCATCACAGCTAAGCTCAGACAGCACACTGTTCTCCATATCTTCATAAGACTGTGCAAGATCCTGAATGTCTACCACGGGCTCATGCAGGGTCAAATCTAAGGAATCACCCTCTGCGAATGCAGGTTTCGTATTTTCAAGGTTTGGGCTCTGGACTTGCCTATTTGGAGACATCAGAAACGTTAGCCTTTCCAATTCTTTGGTATGTTTTCTAACCAACCCAGCCTTCTGTAGCTGAAGGATAGATTCTTGATGCTGCATCAAGTAACTCTGGATTTTTGACTTTTCCATCTCTTGGTTATTTAGCAGTTGCTTCACGTCTTTCTTTGGTTTAACACTCATCTTTTCATTACTGCTGCTAGGAAAACCTACTAACTTATCTTCAATTTGTTGCCTACTAGATGGCATAGAAAGCATACACTTAGACTGTTCCATAATTTCAGCTATATTATCCCGTTCATTTCCTAAAGTTACAGCATTACGAGTTAACTGATTTAATTTATCTTCTGACTGATGCATTTTGAATTCTGGAATTTGCAACACATGTTCATCAACTTTAGAACCTGAAGAAACAAACCCAGTCTTTGAATCAATTAAAGTTTTCAGATATTCATGGCTGCCCATACATGAGCTTACTACTGGCAATTGTTTCAAGTCTTGCCGCCTACCAGACAACGAAGTCATTGCATCAAGGACCAATACTTCAGTATGGAAATCACTGGTCACGTTTCTGCAATTGTGATAAGCTACCATGGTCTTTTCCTGCTGTTCTTCAGAGTTTGGTCGTAAACCTACATTTGTTTCTGTAGTTTCATGCAAAAGTATTGTATCAGTTGTATAAATGGCATCAAATCTATTGACAGGTTTTTCTGCCACTTCCGTTTTATTGGGAATCCCAGAGAATGTTTCAGTCATTTGCACATCTGAAGCTCCGTTCAATAAATATCCCAAATTATTGGACTCGGTTGCTTGGCTCTCTTTCGTGCTGGTACTACATATCTTTACCTGATACAAGTTTTTAGAACGGTCCGTAAATCGCTCGCACACAAGATTACTTACAGAATCCGAGCAGTCCAAAGCAAATTTATTAATAGGTCTGATACTGTTGGAGGTTTCAGTAGTAGTTAGATCCTAGAATAAATGTGAAATATTGCATAGTTTAAAATGAAAATCACAGGTGAAAGACAACGTGTTTAACTAAAACGCAGGTTATATGCATACATTTAAAACAACAGGTACGAAAATAATAGTGAAGTAGGTTCAATCTAAAGTGAGTATTTTTTTGTTTAAAAAAGCAGCCTGGAGACACAAGGCTGAATTTTCCCACTCACAGTCAAAATGTTCTGCCTTCAAGATTCATGGAGCCCAGACTTTTATGGCTTGCAGCAATTCTTATCACACAATCATTTGCTCTTCACCTCATTAATTACATAACTTGGCCTACTGGCACCGTTCTCAATGAATCACAAGGCAGGAGAGGTGGAACTGCTCACCCACAGCCAGGACCTTCTTGCATTTATCCTCGGGTGTCACATTTGAAGGTCAGCTGCACTTCACTACAGATACTGTGAGCCAGGAACTGTGTGACCATTATCACGAGCACATGGCTCAGGCGGCAATGCTTGCTTTCTATTTGAGGGACAGGCACCTGGAAGTGCTGGTGGATGGGGTGGAGAGGAAGGCTGCCCATTTTTCTGCTCACTGCCACCACACCCAGCTAGCCTGTTCTGAGATAGTCTCAGGAATACCCAGCAGGGCAGAAAGATATTAATGAACTTCTCCACTCTGCAAGGCTAAGCGCCACCACTCACTCTAACTCTGCTAACTCACACTCACAGAGCTACCATTCAACTTAACATTGCTACTGCATTCACAACCTGAAAAACCCTGTGAAATCCAGACAACATCCTGACTTGGAACTACTTCGTCGTTCTTTCAGTCACTAGGTTAAAATCCTAGAAACCCCTTCCCAACAGCACAATGGGTGACTCTACACCACATGGACTGCAGCAGTTTAAGAAGGTAACTCACCACCACCTTCTCAAGGGCAATTAGGGATGAGCAATAAATGTTGGCTTAGCAAGCGATGCTTACATCCTGTGAATGAACAAATAAAACACCAAATGGAACGATTGCATTGAAGAAACGACAGGTTGGAGTGTACTAACATGGTCATTTTATTTCATTTTTGTACTTACTTCATCCACTTCCAAATAATTTCTTGTGCTGTTGTTGTTATTATTCACATTGTCTTTACCGAGTTGACTTTCCGCACTGAATGTTGAATCTGGCTGTAGCACGCCTTTTAGATTTGCAATGGCCTCTGCATTATTTTCTGTATTAGGTCCATTTACCATGAATTGGTCAACTTGATCATGCGTATCCAAATTCAACGTGTTCTCATTTTCCTCTTCTGGCTCCTCCGCTGCTGTTGACATCTTGAGAGTATTTCCCTTCTGGCCTTGCAGTCTGCTTTCACTGTCATAGCCATCCTGAAGCTGAGATGATGCAAGCATCCCAGTGTCATGGACACCATCTTCTGTGCACCTGAAATCTGCATTATCAATCTGAATTTCATTCTTTTCCACATTGTCAAAATGAACCGAAAATTGTTCTAGCTTTCTCTGCTGCCTGTTGTAGGCACTGTCCGTAACAGGGTCTGATAAACACCTGAAGTAGTAATTGAAATTAGCTGGCTCACTTTCATCCTTATTGGTCATTGCCACATTCATAAATGTTTCAGCATCATTATATTTCTGCTCCTCACATGTATGCTGAACTCCTGCTTTACATCTGTTCAAGTCTTGCTGAGTAGATGCTCTCCTACTCTGGAACATTGGATCGCTCACAGTCTCTTGTAAGTCACTTTCAGAGTTGCGTCTCCACAAGATATTATGTCGATGTTTACTGTTTTAAAAACAAAGAGAGAATGTTTTACCCACAGGATCAAGAATAGTAATATATTGCTTAGTGATCTAATGAAAGCAAAAGTAAAATCTTTCATTTTTGCAGTACCTTTCATAACTCAAGTTATTTCAAAGAGCTTTTGTAATATAGGAAACATGGTAGACACTTCGCATGCAACAAGATTCCGTAGACATCACTGAGATAATGACCAGATAATATGTATTAGTGACATAGGTTAAGGGATAAATAATGGTCCCAAAACTGGCCTTGCACTTCTTTAAATACTGCTATTGGATCTTTTGCATCCACCTCATCCAAAAGACAGGAATCCAACAATACAATACTCCCTCAATATCATAACCTAGATAACCTGCTCAAATCTTTGAACTAAGACTTGAACCCACAAACTTCCATCTAAGAGGCAAGAATTTATCTCTAAAGGCAAAAAAAACAGAAGATTATTGCCACACAGGTTTCATTTTTGCCTGGATAGGAGAAAATCTCATGCATATTCTAAATAGCACTGACACATCTGCTTAGAGACCTAGACATGTCAGGGAGAAAAGGGTAAATGCACAAAATACAAAAGCAAAGTATTGCAGATGCTTGACATCTGAAATAAAAGCAAAAAAATGCTGGATAAACGCAAATAGTCTGAGAACATCTATAGAGAAAGAAAGACAGATAATGTTTAGAGTCCAGAATGACTAAAGAAAAATCATGTCAGAATTGAAATGTTAACACTGTTTCTCTCTCCACAGATGCTGCCAGACCTGCTGGTTGGTCCAGCACCTCCTGTTTTTATTCTAACACCCTGTGTGTTACAGTGCAAGATTCTCAGTGTTCTAAAAAAAAAACTAATGGAAAAGTTCTAAAAATAATAAATGGTGTTTTGATAAGTGAGAAGGACTTAATGATAACTGGTCTTTTATTAGAGCACTGTTTTCAAATTTGGTCTACAAATTTGGGATGAAAGGACATAGGTAAATTCAGTTTGCTGTTGTATCATAATTCCTAATGGGCATGGGCTTATAGCATAGTTTTTCATGAAATGGCAATACCAACGTTGGTTACTAGTTGGATGATGTGGCAGATGTAAATATTGGACTGGTGGAATAAGAAGTGCTCTTCCGAGTTTGGGGATAAGGCATAGTGTTGGAGCAAAGTAGAAGTAGCTTTGTTCTGAATCAAAAATCTGATGCACAAGAGTAGCAATGGCACAGAATATCAAGGAAAGATGGCTCAATTCTCTTTGCTACAAATGATCATTACTTGTTCCACATGCAAAAAAAAAACTGCCTATTGTTGACCAAAACAGAAAATATTCCAATCCTCAGCAATAACATAGGGTGAAATAGCTCCTGGCCATTTTTAAAATGGAATCCAGAAGGACTGACAATTATGTACAAATATTAAAACAAAATCATATAAAGTTCTTTTTAAGAATCATAGAAAAATACTTTCTAGATACCTATTATTTTTCTTTAATAAGAAGCTTTTATTATTCACTTAGTCATGTGGCTAACAAGACAGTAGAAGGGAAACTAGATAGGTCTTGGTCTTTTATTGTTCAGCAATGTCTTTGTTTGTACGCACGGTCCAGCAATACAATGCACATTTGCAACTTTCTAACTTAACTCTAGACAGCTTTGTTTACCAATAGAAGCATCTGGCCAGCTCAGAACTTCGCAGTCACCACTACAATTATCCAAATGTTTGTCTTGAAAACTAAGCCACACTAATTCAACATTTCTGTCAGCAAGGAAACAAAACAACAATGCATTAACAGTCCATCCTGCATTAGCTGTTTCTTTTGCCTATTGTTATTGTTGGAACTGTCTTTGCTTAAACCATTCAAAAATCTTTAGGTTGAGCATCACCAACTTCATGTACCCTAGTTTAATTTAGTAGTTACTGTGGTTACTGGAAATCTGTAATCAACAAAAAAAATGCTAGCAACATGTACTGAGACAGAAAATGAGAATGTTTCTTCAGAACCATCTGCCAGACCTGCTGGGATTTCCAATGTTTTCTGTTTTATCGAGCTTAAGCAGATTCTATTTTTCCGTGCTGGCAGTTTGAATCCACTGAGGAACAAATGCAGCAAGACCACTGTGATGAAGGTGCAATTTTTAAAAAAAATTCGCTCATGGTTTATGGACATTGCTAGTTAAGCAAGCATTTTTGCCTAATTTCAATTGCCCTGGAAGTGGTGGTGGTGGTTGCCTTCATGAACGACTACAGTCTTAGCGCTGTTAGGACACTCACAGGACTCCATCATGGCGACCCAGCGACAATTAAGGAACCGCAAAATTGTTCCAAGTGAGGATGGTATGGGGCTTGGAAGGGTACTTGGAGGTGGTGGCACTTCTACGTATCTTCTCCCCTTGCTCTTCTGGGTGGTACAGATAATGAGTTTGGAAACTGATGTTGAATGAGCCTAAGTGAATTAATGCTATGCATCTTAGAGATAGCACACTGTGCACCGGTGGTGAAGCAGGGTAATGTTGAAGATGGTGGTGTGGTGCCAAGCAAGTGGGCTGCTCTGTCCTGGATGGTGTTGAGCTTTTTGAGTGTGTTGGAGCTGCACCTCTCCAGGCAAGTAGAGATTATTCCATCACACTCCCGAGCTGTGCCTTGTCAGTAGTGAAGTAGCAGTGGGGAGAAAGGAGATGAGCCATTTACCACAGAATTCCTAGGTTCTGAACTGCTCTGGTAGCCATTTATATGGCTGGTCCAGTTCAGTTTCTGGTCAATGGTAAATGCCAGAATTTTGATTGTTGGGATTCAGTGACAGCAATATTATTGAACATCAAGACGATGATGTTTAGATTCTCTGTTGTTGGAAATAGTAATTGCCTGGCACTTATGTAGTGCAAATATTACTTTGCCACTTATCAGCCCAAACATGGATGATGCCCAGGTCTTGCTGCAGATGAACATGGACCGAGGAGTCACGGATGGTACTGAAAATTAAGTAGTTATCAGCGATCATCCCTACTCTGATGTTATCATGGAGGACAATCAAGAACAATCATTGTCAGTTCACTTCTGGAATTCAGCTCTTTCACTTGGACCAAGGCTGTTTTGAGATCAGGAGATAAGTGGCCTTCATGGAAGCAAAAATAAGTGTCAGTTAGTAGGCCACTTCTATGCAAGTTCCACTTGACAGCCCTGCCAAAGACACTTTCCATTACTTTCTGGATGATCGAGAGTAAACTAATAGATCGGTAACTGGCTATGTTGGGTTTAGGCTGCTTTATGTGCACAGAACAAAAGCTGGGCAATTTTTCACGTTATCAGGTAGATGTCAATGTTGTAGCTGCAGTGAAACAGTTTAGCTAGGGACTTGGTTGGTTGGGAACATAAGTCTTTTGTACTAGGGCGGGGATTTTGTTAGGGCTCATAGCAGTGTCTTTAGCCATTTCTTAATATTATGCAGAGTGAAACAAATTGAAGACTGGGATCTGTGATGTTGGTGACCTTAAGAGATGGCAGAGATGAATCATACACTTGGCATTTTTGATTGAATACAGAAGCAAATACTTCAGCATTGTCTTTTGCATTGATATGCTGGGTTGCCCCATTGTTGAGTAAGAGGGTATTTATGGAGTCTCCAGCTCCTGTTATTTGTTTAGTTGTCCACGTTCATTCACAACTGGCAGGACAGCAGATCTTAGATCCAACCCTCGCTCTTTGCAACATCATAGAAGATCCACTAGTATTGGCTTTGTGGAGCTACCAAAACAAAATGGACTGCAGCAGTTGAAAAAGGCAACTGATCATTGCATTCTCAAGGACTTCTAGGGATGGGCAAAAATTGCAGCCCTAGTCAGCATTATAACATATCCCACGAATGAATAAATTAAAGTAAATTAAATTAAATAAATAAATTTTAAAAAATAACTTTGATTTTATTGACAGAGATAATTTTTTCTAACAATCAAGAATGTCAAGTTAGTTGTCTTTTTTTGATTGCGAACATATTCAAACAATGGATGCCGATAAATGCAAGGAAACCAGTTAGAAGTTACTGAACCCAACAGGGATTTACATGCAAAGTTGAAATTATGTCACAGCTGGATAAATAGGAATTGACTGAATATTCTTTGGTAAGGCTTAACATTGGCCATTCTTCAGAATATTAGTGTAGACTCTGCCGCTCAACTATAAACTATTCAAAAATTGTTGATGGGAATCCAGGGTTGCTCCCTTTTATCGCATTTCAAATACTACTGGCAACTTAACAATAAGGATTAGACAAAATAAAGCTTCACAAAACTGAGATGGGAAAATGCAATGAATCAAAATAAGATGAACAATGTGTTGGGACTTCTATCAAAATTGGGCCATCATGGGATTCCTGTAAAAATGAGAGAAAAAAAATGTAATTTGATGAATTTCAGCAGATAACTTAAGATTACTACCCGTAAAAGCTTACTGACAATACACATGCTTCCAAGAAAAGGTTTTATCCTGCTACCAGCATTATTATTATACTTCAATAAACATAATTACAACATTAACAACTTTAAGTGGTCAAATATCATCTTTAATATAAAAATAACCTCAAGTGCTGCATGGGGACCTGCACAAATATTTAATTGTTTAAGACTTAGCAGGGAAGAAAAAGAAAAAAAGATTGAGACATGATAATTTAAATTCCATGCCCTTTTTTCAAACCTCTAATCTCATGAGCATTCCTGGGTTTACTGCAGGAACATAAAGCTATGCTCAGTTAAAAGTCATTGAACAGTGCATAAATTAACCAGCACTCCACTGCAGTGCAACGATCTTTGATGCCTGGAATTTAGATATGCTAAGATTATTCCTACAATCACATACTCTCCCACACTAGTGATAAATTTGTTTGGATTTATTTGCCTTTCATCTCAATCTTTGTATAGGGCAACAGGGCAAACGAGTTAAGTTCAGATTTCATTCCTGACTGTGGTGAAGCACCCTAGGACTTAATATTTTACTGAAATGTCATAGATGACAGCGTACTAATAATATCTAGATTTGGTTTGCTTGAAAAATGGTTATTTACCTAGCATCTAATATGCCTTCATATTCTGCCAACTGCCTCATGAACCCTGCATTTGGTTGTGCAACACTCCGTTTTTCCTTCACATATTTGTAGGCTTTCTCGAGTGACCATCTATATTCTTTCATTGCATACGCGATGACAGTTGATGCGGACCGGCTAACACCCATTTTGCAATGTACCAGACACTTGGAATGATCTTTCCTGTATGTAAAGAAAGATTAGAAAGCTGAAACAGTCACATGATTACAGTTTCTGAAAAGCTACAGAAATCTTAAAATGGAAGTCATTGTACTGAAACTGTCAAACAGAAAAATAACAAATGAAACATTAAGTGACATTATATAAGAATTGCATCCTTTTCTGATCACTAATGTATTCTGAAGGCTGGTTCTAATAAGAATTCAGTCTCATGATCATCTTGCTTAAATTTTTAGGCTATTACTCCAATGTACAAACAACAAATTAGTTAACATTGGAGACAAAGATATCCAAGACTAGAAAAATGCATTCAAAGACCACTTTAGATGTGCTTCTAAAGATTTCTAATTTATGCAGGAGGTACACATCCAGAGTCAAAACCTCCAAAAAGAGAAACCAAGCAAATTTCTTCCTGACTTCAAATGCAAAAACAAAAGTAGATATTTGCATTCAGTCATTAATGGCTGCATTCCACAAAATGTCTAGTAAACTGAGCCAGAGTATTCTCTAAACATAAATAAACCAAAGAACTGCAAATGCTAGAAATCAGAAACAAAAACAGAAATTGCTGGAAAAACACAGCAGGTCTGGCAGCATCTGCAGAGAGAAAGCAGAGTTAACCTTTCAGGTCCAGTGACCCTTCTTTAGAAGCCGTGTTTTTCCAGAAATCTCTGTTTTTGTCACAGAATTCTCTCTTGGATGGGCTATATCTATACAATTATATTAGAGTCATAGAGTTGTACTGCTTGGAAACAGATCTTTCAGTCCAACTCATCCATGCCGGCCAGATATCCTAAAGTAATCTAATCCCATTTGCCAGCATTTGGCCCATATCCCTCTAAACCATTCCTGTTCATGTACCCATCCAGATGCCATTTAAAATGTTGTAATTGTACCACTTCTTCTTGCAGCTCATTGCATACACACACCACTATCTGCCTGAAAAAGTTGCTCCTTAGGTCCCTTTTAAAGTTTTCCCCTCTCACCTTGAACCTATGTCCTCTAGTTTTGGACACCCCGAACCCAGGGAAAAGACCTTAGCTATTCACCCTATCCATGTCCCTCATGATTTTATAAAGCTCTAATAAGGTCACCGTTCACTCTCCGAGGCTCCAGGGAAAATAAGCCCAGCCTATTCAGCCTCTCCCTTTTGCTCAAACACTCCAATCCCGGCAAAGTCCTTGTAAATCTTTTTTGAACTCTTTCACGTTTAACAACATCTTTCGTATAGCACAGAGATCAGAACTGAATGCAGTATTCCAAAAAATGGCCTAACAAATGTCCTGTACACCCGCAGTATGACCTCCCAACTCCTATACTGCATGCACTGACCAATAAAGGCAAGTATACAAAACGCCTTCTTCACTACCCTGTCTACCTGTGACTCCACTTTCAAGGAGCTATGAACCTTCCCTCCAAGGTCCCTTTGTTCACCAACACTCCCTAGGGCTCTACCATTAGGGTATAAGTCCTGCCCTGATTTGCCCTACCAAAATATAGCACCTCATATTTATCTCAATTAAACTCCATCTGCCACTCCTTGGCCCATCGGTTATCTAATCAAAGTCCAGTTACCCTGAGGTAACCTTCTTCACTGTCCACTACACCACTGTCACCTGCAGACTTACTAACCATACTTCCTATATTCACATCCAAATCATTTATATAATTGAGAAAAAGCAGTGCACCAATCCTTGCAGCATACTGTTGGTCATAGGCCTCTACCTTGAAAAGGAACCCTCCACCACCAGCTTCTGTCTTTTACCTTCAAGCCAATTTTGTATCCAAATGGCTAGTTCTCCCCGTATTTCATGCGCTCTAACCTTGTTAACCAGTCTACCATGCCAAACCTTACTGAACACCTTACTGAAGTCCATATAGACAGCGTCTACTGCTCTTCCTTCAATTTTCTTTGTTACCACTTCAAAAAACTTAATCAAATCAATGAGACATGGTTTCCCACTCACAAAGCCATGCTGACTATGCATAAGCAGGTTCTGCTTTTCCAAATACATGCAAATCCTGTCCCTCAGAATCCTCTCCAACAGCTTACCTACCATTGATGTCAAGCTCACCGGTCTACAGTTCCGTGGCTTTTCCTTACCACCTTTCTTAAATAGTGGCACCACATTAGCCAACCTCCAGTCATCCGGTACCTCACCCATGTCTAATGATGATACAAATGTCTCACCATTGGGCCCTGCAATCACTTCTCTAGCTTCCAACAAAGTTCTGGTATACATCTGATCAGGTCTAGGGGATTTGACCACCATTATGCGTTTTAAGACATCCAGCACAACCTCCCTGTAATAAGGACACTTTTCAAGATATCACTATTTATTTCTCCAAGTTCTCTAGCTTCCATGTTCTTTTCCACAGTAAATACTGATGCAAGACACTCATTTAGTATCTCACCCATCTCCTGAGGTTCCACATACAGATGGCTTGTTTATTTTTAAGGGGTCCTATTCTCTCCCTAATTACTCCTTTGTTCTTAATGTATTTGTAGAATCTCTTTGGATTTTCCTTAACCCTATTTGCCAAAGATATCTCATGTCCCCTTTTTGCCCTCCTGATTATACTCCTACTGCCCTTATACTCCTCTAGGGATTCACTCGATCCCTGCTATCTATATCTGCATTATGGCTCCTTCTTTTTCTTGACCAGAGCCTCAATTTCTCTTATCATCCAGCATTCCCTACACATACCAGTCTTGCCCTTCACACTAACAGGAACGTAATGTCTCCGGACTCTCTTTGTCTCAGTCTTAAATGGTCTCCCACTTTCCAACCATCCCTTTTCCTCAGAATATCTGCTCTTGATCAACTTTTGGAAGTTCTTGCCTGATATTGACAAAATTGGCCTTACTCCAATTTAGAATTTTAGCTTTTAGATCAGGTCTATCCTTTTCCATCACTATTTTAAAACTAATAGAATTATGATCACTGGCCCCAAAGTGCTCCCATACTGACACCTCATTTACTTTCCATGCCTGATTTGCCAAAAGAAGGTTAAGTTTTGTTCTTTCTCGAGTAGATACGCCCACATCCTGAATAAGAAAATGCTCTTGTACACACTTAAATGCCTCTCTATCCCAGCGCTTAACACTATGGCAGTTCCCAGTCTATGTTTGGAAAGTAAAAATCCTCTACTATTACAACCCCATTATTCTTACAGGTATCTAAGATTTCCTTACAAAATTTGCTGCTCAACTTGCCACGGTCTACTGGGGGGCCTACAGTACAATCTCAATAAAGTGATCTTCCCTTTCTGATTTCTCAGTTCGACCCAAATACCTTCATTGGACATTCTGCCTGGAATATTCTCCCTAAGTTCAGCTGTAATGTTATCCCTAACCAAAAATACCACACCCCCTCCTCTCTTATCCCCCTCTTTCTATCCTTCCTATAGCATCTAGAACATTAAGCTGTCCGTCCTGCTCTTCCCTGAGCCACGTTTCTGCATTAATTACAATTTGTCCAACAAATCTGATAACAGAGACAAATCTCATTGACCTAAATGTGCTTCCAGTTGTAAATATTTATTTGATTCAATTGGACAAGACAATTTCTTTGTTTAGACAAACCTTTTGATGACTCATTGCAGCAATTGATTCCCCCAGGCTGAACTTGGCCCATTCCTTTGTCTGTCCAACCACTGTTCTGTCCCTCTGGGCTTCATCTCTACCTATTGTTTACTTTGCCCTGCTCCCCGTCCCCAGCTTCAGCACACATACCAACCATTTCCTAGCTACAATCCATTCTGAAGGGTATTTAAGTCCGAAATATTAACTCTGCTTTCTCTCCACAGGTGCTGCCAGACCTGCTGAGTTTTCCCAGCAATTTCTATTTTTGTTCCCAACATCCAGGGATGGTAAGCTGATATCCTTGCCCCTCTTTAAGCCAAGTTTTCAATAAGTCCTTTAAAGGACTTATGTTTACTGTTGCTAATCTCTTCCTTTTTATATACTCATAGAAGCTCATACTTTTTTTATGTCTCTTGCTGGTTTACTATTCTATTGTATTCTCTCCAATTTCTTGGTCATCCTCTACTGAATCCTTTAAATCTTCAAGTTCATTATATTTTGAACAACAGCCTTAATCTAATATTGTCTTTAAATCCCCTTTCAAATGATGCTTGGACCAATTTTCTTGAGGCTTTAATTATTTAAAAGAATGTATATTTATTTTGCTACAGCATTTATTGCACTAAGTGATTTTAGTTCACACATCTGCAATTCAATTTTATATTTTGCCCTGGAGAATCAGCTAAGGTATTTAAACAATCATTTCGCCAACATGGAAAACTTGTTTACAGAGTAGAACATTCTTGTACACACTTGGCTTTTGTTATGAAGTTATATGCATCATTCCAATATGCCAGTAGGTCCGTAGCATCCTCATCAAACACTCGAATATTGTGATAGCAGAACAATCCTGGGAAGAAGTTATCTACTTCTCTGGTTACATTTAAGATGTACCCAACACTGTAACAGACCAGAAGAACTGTTGAGAAATTTCACATCAATCTTCATGAAGGACAACCATTAGAATGTATGTACTTAGTAAACACAGTATGAAAATAAACAAGGTTGCAACCATATGTTCAAAAATATTGATCATATTCAATTTTTCCAATGTGGAAATGGGTAAAGGCCAGCGCATACCATGTAGTTCTCAAAAAGCTACAACCCTCCTGTACGACATGGACCAATTTAGCAAATCCTGCACTTGACGACAAGCACAAAAACTAAAAGGGAAGAAAAAACATCTAGCGTTCCCACTGGCAACCCCAACATAGATTTCATTGATAAAAATCTGTTTCACTCAGTTTCTGGTCTTGCACATCAGGAATATCATTTGAACAAATCTGAATGTTATGACCTCTCAAACTGGTAAGAGATGTAGATGTGCAGGAGTTATGCCAGTGATTTCCTTTTGCCTTGCAAAGACAGTTGAGAAAAGGATACATAGTTTTATGAGTTGACAGTGGTTATTAGATAAGTGAAACATTAAAAACACCACAATAATTATTTTGTCCTTACCCTGTGCTTTGAAGTTCTTCCAAGTTCGAAGCATTCCACTCTGAACCCTAAAATGGCATTGATTATAATCACACTCTGATACACAAGGATTAATTTTAAAATTAGAAAAGCAGCCTTTAAATGTTACACATTGTACATGGCATTGTGAAAGTTCTTGTCCAAGCCAGTACCATCCTGACTTGAAAAGATAACATTCCCCTTACGTATTGCAGGATCAAACTCCTGGAAATCCCTCCTGTACAGCATAGTGGGCCTACCTATAGCATTTGGAATGTAGCAGTACAAGAAGGTAGCTCACCACCATCTTCTCAAGGGTAACTAGAGGTGAGCAATAAATACCAACTCAGCCAGCAAAGCCCATGTCCCATGAGTGAATTAAAAAAAAAATCACTGTGCCACACAGTTACAGTGCAGTTGCAATTAAAAATACCAAAAGACTCATGGTTCTGTATGATGCACCTGGCACTCAGGAAGCATTCATACATAAAATCTTTACAGTACATCCATCAGATTCATTTAACATTTATATAAGAAAAACACTTTGGCATTATTTACAGTTAGTACTTAATTATTCACCAAACTTGCATCCAGCTGCAACTGAACCAAATTGAAATGCTGTTATAGGACTGGCACAAATTATCCATGTTAATTTAGAATTGTTTATGGGTTGCAGATCTTCCAAACTGAACTAGAGCAGGTTTAACATTATGGCTAAAAATAGTTAAAGGAAATACATAGTGCAAAGTGATTTCTTTTGGTAGGCTTAACAAGGAGAGGGGATATAAAATAAAGTGTAATATTCTGAAAAGGGTTCTGGAGGAGAAGGACTTAGGATTTGTATATGCAAATTAGTGGAAGTGTTAGACAGATTGAAAAGTCTGTTAAGAAACTATAAAGGATCTTGAGCTCTATAATTAGGGAAGGAGAGTACAAAAACTAAGAACTTATGATTGGAAGACATAAGCATTGATAGATGAGTGCCTCGCTAGCAGGAAACAGAGTAGGAATAAAAGGGTCTTTAATCTGTGGGCAAGGTGCAACAAATGGGGATCTGTGCAGGCGTTTCAAGTTTTTACCATTTATCTTAAAAGGGACTGAAGGAACACAAAAATAGGTCAGGAAGTAAGTTGTGAAGAGGGCAAAGATGACGGCAGTGGAGTAGCAGTATTCGGGTCCTGAGCTCGGGGCTCATCCACTTCCGTCTGGTTCCTTTCCCCCACACCCCCCACCTTTCTTTTACTTTTGCTCTTTCTTTTTTTGCCTTTTTCGGCAGCAGCAGTATCCTAGAGCATCGGCAGCGGTGGTAGCAGTCCCTTTCCTTGAGGGTTGGCAGGGCCAGCAGTAATTTCTTCACAGGGGAACAGCAACGGCAGGTTGCTTGATGAAAAGGCAGTCCCAAGAGGTGCACGGACTCAGTGACAACATCGAAGGAGACAAGACGACACCGAAGAATGGTGACACTGTTCCAGCTGCAGCTGTGCTGCTCCGGGCCATGGCTGAGCCCGGGTACCTGATAGACAGAGGCAATGACATTCTGGCCGCAGTGGCGTGCAGGGACTTGGGGAACCGATGTGCCTGCAGATGGAGGAATGAACTTTGTGACTTTGTTTTCCTGGTGGTGAGGACCCACGCGGAAGCAGGGGAAATGATCCGGTCATTTCCTTTTCTTTGGCTGTTTCTTATATTTCTTCTTCTGTTTTTAATCTTGTCTTTTGTATACGAAGATGACGCCGCTGAATGGGGATTCTGAACATTTTTCACCGTTCTCCTGTATTCCTGTACTCGAGTACATGTGACAATAAAATTTAAATCTAAATCTAAGAAGAAGGTAACAAAGGGAAATAGGCAAGTTAAGCAAGTGGGCAAAGATCAGGTAAGAGAAGTAAATGTAGGAAAATGTGAAACTGTCCATTTTAGCAGGAAAAATTTTAAAAATGACTTAAATGGTGAGAGATTGCACAGCTCTGTGATGCAAAGGGATTTGGGTGCCCAAGGACATCAATCACAAAAAGGTTAGAATTCAGGAACATCAAGCAATAGGAACAAAAACAGAAATTGCTGGGAAAACTTAGCAGTTCTGGCAGCATATTTGGAGAGAAAGCAGAGTTTACGTTTTAGTTCCAGTGACCCTCGTGTCAGACACATGCTGCCAGACCTGTTCAGTTTTCCCAGCAATTTCAGTTTTTAGTTTCTGATTTTCAGCACCTGCAGTTCTTTGGTTATTTTGTTACGCAATTAGGAAAGCTAATAGATGTTATAATTATTGCAAAAGGAACTGAGGCTACGTTTCAGTTCTGTGGGGCACTAGTGAGACTATACGAGGAGTAATGTGCACAGTGCTGGTCTCATTATTCAGGGACGGATGTAAATATGTTGGCAGCAGTTCAGAGGTGGTTTACTAGCCTACTACTGGGAATGGGTGAGTTGTGATACAAGGAAAGGTTGAACAAGCTAAGCTGGTATTCACTGGAGATTAAATGTAACAGGTGACTTGATTGAAACACCTAAAATCCTAAGGGACCTTGACAGGGTATATGCAGAAAAGATATTTTCGCTTGTGAGAATTTAGAACTAGGAGGCACTTTTTATAAAGAAGACTTTTCCAATTAAGATAGATGAGATTTTTTTCTCACAGTAGGTCTTCCTAAACAACGCAGTGAAGGCAGAATCTTAGAATTTTTTAAAGCAGAGATAGCTAGCTTCTAGATAAGAGGGTGATAGGCTTTTGGGGATAGGTGGGAATGTGGAATAAACAGATAAGCCATAATTTTATTGAATGGCAGAGCAGACCTGAAGGGCCAAGTACCCTATTTTTCCTGCTTCTAATTTGTATGATAAACTTCACTGACTTGGTCCAGTTCTGAGCACTACAGTTTAGGAAAGAGATGATAGTGTTAGGGAATGTGCAAGAAGGTTCACAAGAATTAAGAAGCTGAGCTGTTTTTCTTCGAAATGAAAAACTTAAATGGAGATTTGGTAGTGCTCAAAATAAAAAGAGGCCTAGCCATAGTAGTTAAGGAGAAACTGTTCCCAATGGTGAAAAAGGTCGAGAATCAGAGGACCTTTCTTTAAGGTTATCAACAAACAAAAGCAGTGGAGAAATTAGAAAAAGACACATTTTAAAAAACAAAAAATATAGAGAGCTATAAGAATCAGCAATGTACAACTTGGGTGCAGTGAGGCAGATTCAATTGAGGTCTACAAACAAATATCAGATTATTTATCTGCAGCACTCAGTGGAAAAGACAGGAGAGAGGGAGTAGCTGAATTGGTCTTGCAGAGACCAGCAGTGGAACAGGCTGAATGGTCTCCCCTTGAACTACAACTATTTTATGATATTTCTCATTTTACTTCCCTTTAAGAACTGCAGATCACAGGACCATTTTCACAAATGAGTGTTATTTGTGAAGTTCAATGTTTGCTGATTAGGAACCATGGGAATGCAATTTCCCTACTTGTTGATCCCAGATTCAGTCCTAACCTTTGCTCCCATTAAATTTTCTTACATCAACACCCTTCTCATTCTTTGGCAGGCACCTATTTCAAAAGGAAACCACTGGCTAAGGAAATCCAACACTAGATCAGTTATTCCAGCTCAGTCTCCAACAAACTACAGCAGATACTATTGACAACAGAAGTGTTCGGGTACAGAGCAGTTCAAGTCATCATGCTTCTGTACCTGAGACTTTAAGTGTATGTCTAGATATAAAATTCCAGCCACTCAGCAACTCAAGACCACGAGAGAAATTCCATCAGCAATGCCTTCACCATCTCTTCCAGATTGTGAGAGGACCCTCAAACAAACCAGAATGGCACTGTTGAAGCCAGCTCTACAATCTGAAAGGAATAACTTCAATGAATGGACACTATGTCTGGGTAGCAGAAAACTCTCTCTCCTGCCAGGTCCTATTGACAGTCCTCAACTCTCAAATGGTCAACATTCCAAGAAAGGACAAAGTCATACTGAAGCTCTCCTTGAAGCACATAGCATGGACATTGATGATGGATAGAACTTTTCTACCAATCATTTACAATGGTGACAACTTGCCCATTATGCTGGATCACGCTTTGAGTCACAACATGACGCAGAGCAACAGCAGAGAAGGAAAGAAAGGGATGATGATCCTGGACCCCAGATTTTTTTAAAAATTCCTTCATGGGATGTGGATGTTACTGGCCAGGCCAGCATTTATTACCCAACTCTAACTTTTGCTGGGTCAAAATCCTGGAATTCTCTCCCTAATGGCATTGCGGGTCAACCTACAGCAAGTGGATTGCAGTAGTTCAAGAAGGCAGCTCACTATCACCTTGAAGGGCAACCAGGGACAGGCAATAAAATGCTAGCCAGCCAGCAACGCCCACATCCCAGAAGTGAATTTTTAAAAAATCCACAATCTCAAGCAATGTCCTGCACTAAGCACCTAAAGATTTGTGGGTCAAGAATCTCAGGCACATGAAGATCATTGGGAGCAGCTCAACACCCCAAATAGAAATCATATTCAAATCAAAGGACAGCCAATGAAGACCATCAAAACATTAGAAGTACAAGTGAGTTTTGCTCTTTTGAATTTTTCCTTGTATAAAGCCACTATCACAACTGATCAACACAGGAACACGTTCACCACATCACTACCAGCTAGTATTTTATATCCGGACACACAAGTGGTATTACTATAAATAAAGTAGTTCAAGTGCAAGAGTTTTAAAATTGCTGAACTTCGAGTTACTCCTGATGTTAATTACCCCCACGACTACTCCCAGGTTGAGCTGTAGACAATGTTAGCAGGCTACTTTAAAAAATAAGATATTGATTTAAAAAGGTAGCTCCCTGTTCCTCCGCTCTATACTTCTGGGCAAGTAACTAGTAAAATGCATTATCTATGTAGTATTAATTTGGATGAAGATGAGGAATAGGAATATACAGAAAATAAGTCACTGGTAAGGGTTGTCTATAGACTTCCCAACAGTAACCAGAATGTAGGATGAAGTTTACAAAAAGAAAGATTGAGTGCTTGTGACAAAGGAATAGGAACAAGCACAGGTAATT